AGACACTGCCAAGTGTGGCTGGGGTGGGTGGCAAAATCGCCTGCAGTTGAGAATCAATGCTGTAAGTACAATGCTCAAAGGTCAACATCACTTCTCCTGAACTGTATTTTTCGTTCTCTTCCTCCTCCTGCCCTCCTTCTCCTTCTCCGTGATAAAAATCAAAACAGCCTGACCACACAAAGTTTGAAAACCACACCAACAATGATACACGTTTTTCTAGGAAGATACCAAAAGAATTGTTTCCGACAAGTAGCCAAGTCTTTAGTGCTGCCCTTACAAAGAATGAAACAAAAAGCAACGTGTAGATGGGAGAAATACAGTCGTTTCTCGCTCACATTAATAAGAAAGCACCCTGCAATCTCCAGTCTGCCCTGCTTCTTGGCAGCATCTGGGGTGTCACAGACTGGCCGTTAGCTGATCCCCCAGAAAGCCACCTGTGGAGCTGGGCAGGGGGCTGGAGCACTTCAGGTGCTACTCCCAATGCAACGGATACCAGGGGGACCCAAAGAAGAAACAACACCTGTGCAACTTAATTTCAAGGCCCATTAGCAGCACAAAAGGGGGGAAAATTGCCCTTCCAAATGCAAGTCCTGAAACTCAGCAGGGACATTTTTCATTTGCAATTTTTAAATGGTAGAATAATAATTACGGTTCTTTTTATTGAGAACAGCATGCAAGCTCAAATACATTGCACTTCACCAGCACATACTGGAAATACACTGCATGTGGCTACTCACGTTTGGGAAACGCAGGCCTAGCTAACGTTCCGTGTAGGCTCAATATTAGAAACCAGCCACTGGAGTTGTGCCTGCACCTTCGAGTCTATGACTATGTTTCCCAAATGACCTTGCAATTGTAAGTGATCGTAAGGCAAAAGCAATGTTATCATTAAGCGGTGCCTTTCAGCGAACCCTCCATGCTGGCCAGTTATTCAACTAATGTTGAAAGACAAGAACTGGTTCTTTTAAGTGTAAATAAATAAATGCGGAGGTACGCAGGCACTCATGCCTTCCCCCAACTGATGGAGAGAGAGGCACAATGTGCCCAATCCCCGAAATACTACAATCTGGAGTTGTAACCATCACCTTCTAAGAAGGCTCCACAGCACGGAAGCATCTGTGGGAAGCTCAGACACGACAGGCCAAAAAAATAAATAAAAAATAAAAAATCCTACTTCATAGGTGGTGTTTGCTAAGGTTTGAGAAAGGGAAATGAGATGTCAAGCCCAACTTCCAAGCAAATCCACAGAAGCAGAAATGGAAAAGAGGAACCAAAAGGAGAAACTCCTTTTAGCAGTGAAACCACATGCTGTCCCCTCCAGCACCATCCAATCCATGTGGGCATTTACTGAGTACTTTCAACAGTTAGGCTTTGAACAAGACGCTATGGGCAAAACAAAGATTAAGTGGATACTGCCGGGCCTCAGAAGGCAAGCACTTTCAAGATCACACTTTTTTTTTTTTTTTTTTTTTACCTTTCCCCTATGTTAGCACATGGCAAAGAACTCCAGATCCAATGTTATTCACTCTGTGTCATAATTTAAGATCATAAAAATAGAGAAAAGCAGAATTGTTTTTTTTCCAAAAACAGAAGCATCATTCTGAAAGGGGATAATTTTGGCGAAGAAACATTCAAGTTCTTTCTGGGAGGAGAAACTGATTTACTAGGCGACTGGTTGAAGGATGGGGACTTTTTTTTTTTAAATCTGGGTTTTAGTTTCTTTGATCCACCTTCATCTTCAGCAAGATAAACTAAGCTCAAAAATGCAGTTCAAGCTAATTCTTGATTTCAATGAAGGTCATTTCCAGCTAGAATTCTCTAGGGGAACATCCCTTTCACATCATCAAAAAGCCCAAGAGCGAATAATTTAGAAAGAAAAGCCATTTTGGATAAAAGGTACAGAAAACACAGCTCAACAGAGGAAGGGCACACACACATAGAGCTTTCCCTAAAAAGAAAATAAATTTAGGGAACCCTTCTTCAACTGCCATGGTACCCAATTTAGAAGCAGTTTAGAGTCAACCAGAAGATATATCAGCAAGCAATAAGACACAACAGTAAGCAATCAGAAACATCAGTGAGCAATAAGACAACAGAGTAAGCAGTAAAGACACACCAGGGAGAACATTTCTGAGCAATTACCACATGTCTTAATGCAAAAAGAGAGAAAGAAAAACTTCACTCAGTCAGGATTGGAACCCATAAAAATAAACTCTCTCCCAGCTCCAGAGCCATTTCTGCTAGGACAATAGGGGTTTGGGGACAGTTGGGCCATGGCTGAGAGGGCAACAAAAGCAATAAATGGCTTTTTCCTCAACAAGGGCTAATAAACTTAAGTTCTTATCCTTCTTTTTGGCACTCTAATATACAGACAGGGCAAAGAGTTTAGATATATGTTGTTTAACCGACAAAGCATAAAGCCCCCTGCCCCTCTAGGGGAAATAAAGGAGGATGGCTCTATTCTCTGTTTTACATCTATGTCTGCCGTGCCCAGCAGTCTCTCGAAGGGAGGAATGCACATGCGCACAGAGGGACAAGCTTGCTTCTACACAGGTTGGCCACAAAAACAGACCCTTAAGATACAGAGAACTTCCTTACTAGACAGGTTATTAAATATCCCAGGAAACTGTCAGCTCTCCAGGAACCTCTAAGAAAACGGCAGCATATTCTTTAAAACTTGCCCATTTGTGATGATTTACAAATGAAAGCAAGGAAGACAGAGCCAACACTCTTCTCTTTATGGTGCTTGGTCTTAAGCTGAGCTCAAGGGACTCCAATACCAAAGGTACCCCCCACCCCCCAAACACTCAAACTCCATAAAAAAACCTGTGAAACCACTAACTTCTCCTAGATGTTGAGAAGACTGAGTAAAACCATGTTTCTCTGAGGGTCACAAACAGTAACTGGTATTTCCTGGATGGTTGCTGGATGTTAGTTTCCTCCCCTTCCTTCCAATTATTTTCGGGGTCACAATCCATTTCTAGGAGTCTGTATCTCTTTCATGAGGCCCCTATGCCTCAATCCTACCCACCTTCAAAATGTACCTTCCTGTGAGAAGCCTCATAGCTACCCCCATTTACATGGCCACCGTCTATGGGATTTTGTGCCTATAGATTATTTTCCTAATTGGCCATTAAAAATTTTAAAGACAGAGTGTCTCACAAACAAAAGATGCAAAGGAGGGAGAATGAGATTAATTATCAGAGGCACAGCTCTAAATCTGCTCCCTCCTCCCGCCCCCCCAACCCCACAAAACACACAAAATCCTTTGGTTCTTTAAATATTAGTAAAAACACAGTAGCAGTGGCACGGCGAAAGGAGACCCCTCAGAGCCAGCAACTTAGAGAATGTGCTCAAGAGGTAATGTGTTCACTGAGTCAACTAACTCACTCAATACATGGGGCTGGGATCCCATTGGAAAGAAGTAGTCACCAACTCCCTCCCATGTCATTCCTGGAGGTCGACCTACAATTCTGGACCCGGGTACTTGGAGCGCAGGCAGGGTTAGTCTCCCAGTGAGCCTGGCACAAACAGGACAGTCAGTGGTAGCAAGATCCCTCATCAGGCAGAGAATGACAACAGACTTGTTTACACGGGTTGTACAGGACAGAGACGGTAGGAGGCGGCAAAGGTCAAGGAGCACCCCACTCCACCTCTGGAAATAGGACAATGTAGAACTGCCATGAAATCAGATAGGACCTTTCCAACAGCATTTTCTGCTGGGGACAAGGGTGGAGGAGTGGAGCCCGGAGAGGCATGGGTTCCATTTATTAATAAGCAGCTCAACACAGTGGGAGGTTTTCTTGTCTAATTACAGAAGCCGTTGGAAACTGCAGGGAAGAGAGGATTTATGGCCCAGATGACACTGCCTCTGTGTTGTAATTAAAAGTTATTTTTAATACCTTTCTTTGGTTGGACACTTTGGATTATTAGAAATATATTTTGCAATTTAACACTTGCTAAAGGGCAAAGAACAGAACAGAAAGGTAATACAACAAGCTTGCATAGTGGGAAACAATTAAATGTTTTGACACCAGGAGGTAGAAAAGGAAAAGAATCCCTCCCACTTCAGTCCGTACATTTCTACAGTGCAAGTCAGAGGTAGAGAGAAACCAAAAAGAACACTAAATTTGATTTTCAAAGTAGCAGAAAGCAACCTAGCTCCTTATTTTATCCATTAAGTAGAGACTGGATACCCCCACCAGGAGTGCAGACAACTCATTTACAACCGTTCACCCGAAGCATCTCATCCTAATCCTCAGGCTCTTTGCTTTGTCACTCTAATGAGAGCAAGTCCTGGCTCGGCCACAGGGACTCGAAGGCCAACCCCAGGGTAGTGCAATGGGGGCATCCAACGTAAGCTATGGGCAATCCAGGCTGTGCATGATCTGGACTTTGTCTTTAATCTATGCTTCTTCTCTCATCCAAGATTCCAGTTTGGGGAGGGGGCTAGACAAAATGCATCCCAGTGAGAAATGCAGGGTGGTGTCCAGGAGTGGTGACAGAAGCAGCCCAAGATCAGGCAGGGGCCCTTTATTTCATCAGCCCCATTTCTAGAATTTCCATCTCCCCATGTACACACAGGATGCATTTTTCTGCAATGGTGACTTCTTTAACAACAGGAAGGAGAGAATCTCTTATATGGGACAGACTTTCGAAACTGATGAAAATGGGAAGGAGAAAGGACCTCTAGCTGACATGAGCTTCCCAGATAACCTCTCTATTTCACTTATCCATGCTATGAATCTTCTCATTAAAAGTGAATTCCAGAAGCTCATTATGTGAAATATGTCACAGAAACCACCAGATATTACACATCACGATGGGCCTGTAAAAGTCTTTTAACACGTTAATCAAAAGTAAACTTAAAATCAGCTTTAGAGGGGCCATACCAAGTTTGATGGGATTTATATCAATAAGAACCACTGTGCCCCTTTATCCTTTCCCCAGGTCAAAGCACGGTCAGCCTCCACGTCAGGGCACACAACCGCCATTCTTACCTGCCACATTAATTTTCTCAAGTGCAACCAAGCTGGGAACAGCTGTGGTGGAATTGGTCGAGTTTGTCCCTGTGCCATTGATTACAAGATTGTCCACCTTGGACTCCAACTTCCCAATGCGCTGCAAGATATTATCCAATAGCACGGCAAGAGTTTTCTTCAGATCTGTCAAAGAAAATGCAGATAGTTAAAAAAGTCTTCGGCATCTGTATGTTTGTCTGGTGCGTTTTCTCTCTCTCTCTCCTCCTCCTCCTCCGTCTCTCTCTGACATGAAGAACAAAAAAAGTGGCACAGTCAAGAAGTACTGCTTGAAGACGTGTCTGAACAAACCCTATCTTAAAGATGACGGAGGCCATCTTCGAGTAGCCCAGAGAGTACAAAACACATTGGTCTCTTCTGCCATGCAAGTTTGGCAGTAGGTGACATAAAATTACTCCCAGGCACTAGGGCAATAGAGAAAACTTGGTGTTACTTAGCATCCTATCAAAGCACTCTATTAAATTCCTTCTTCTTAGAGCATGATGCTCTGACCTATAGAATGACAACCCCAAAGTGCAGCGAGGTCTTGAAGTACCTTCTGGATCAAGTACATTGTTATTTTCAGTGTTCTATATTCCAGTACATTCCAATTTTTTGCCAAGTCTTTACTTCTGTTGGTTATTTATGGTAATACTTAAAACTACAGTTCCAGATTCTAACTCAGATGTAACTACAATGAGATTTAGAAAGATACCTAAATTAAGACCAGATTCATTCATTCATTCGTTCAGGAAATATTTATAAAACAACTACTATGTGCTAGGCACTGTTCTAGATGCTGGGGATATTCTCTCATTTAAGAGTTGATTCTAATGGGGTGCCTGGGTGGCTCAGTCGGTTAAGCATCTGCCTTCAGCTCAGGTCATGATCCTGGGGTCCTGGGATCGAGCCCTGTGTCAGGCTCCCTACTCAGCTGGGAATCTGCTTCTCTCTCTCCCTCTACCCCTCCCCCAGCTCGTGCTCTCGCTCACTCTCTTTCTATCTCAAATAAATAAAATCTTAAAAAAAAAAAAGAGTTGATTCCCCTTTTCACACACCAGACTGTGGGTTAAATGCTGCACTTCTCTCTAGACAGACATTTACCCTCATGTATACATAAGCGTTTACTAAGTTTGAACACAAGGTATTCCACACACACAAGATTAATTAAGCCTCTCTCCTCTGGAAACTCATAATCAAAGAAAGATATATTGACCTGCACATGTGAGAAAAGCAGAAGGACACCAGGCTAGTCATCCATGTGAATAGAATTCAGCCTCATGAATGAATTGGGAGTGGTTCAGGGGAGAAGAGCACCATGTGGGGAGCAGGATATGCAAAGTCCTGAACTGAGATAAATGCAAAATTGCCACTTTCCCTTGTACTGGGAACAGGGCAAACTTGCTTTGAGTAGGTGACCTCACCTGGCCGGGAGAGAAGCACACACCAGATTAATTCACCAACCCCAGAACACAGCCAGCCAACCCTGAACCTTGGCCAGAAGGCACTCAGGCTGTCCTATTTTGTCAGGGGGAGAGGGAGGTTGTCAGAACAGAAACAAAGGTGTGTAACGAACTTGGAAGTTTGTGTTGTTGGCGGTTTACAGATGGGAGGCATGGCTGGAGCAGACTAAATACTGCAAGCAGAAAGCAAACCCACACCTCTCTCCTCAAAGTCTGGTGCTCTCCGCTTGACATAAGCGCAACCTCCCCACTGCTCTCCCCAAACGGATCATCGGACTTCTTCACGATGTTAACCTCTGAAGTGGTTCGTTCCTTCATTCTAACAAACACCCGACCAGGGCTATTTCTCACTCTTCAGCCCATCTCTCCCCTACAGGTAAGAAGAACTGGCCACAACATTAGAGCGACAGGGCTAAAAATATTATAGCAGAGAAGGGCACAAGGGATCTAGTGTTTCCTGAATGCCTATAACATGCCACACACACAAATCTAAGAAACCCCACGTTATCTTCACCTCCTCCGGGTAAAATGACTTCATTTTACAGAGGAGAACACGGAGGTTCACAGACATGAAGTAACCTGCTCACAGTGACAGAGATAATAAACTGGAATGGGGACTTGAATAGGGTTGGCCTAATTCCCTGATGCCTCAGCAGCTCAGCCAGAAGTCAAGAGTCAAGGTAGAAAAAGAACCCAAGTGTGAAATTCAAGGTCTTTCATCCACAGCACTGTGGTTAGGGGCCCAGACTCTGGAGCCCAAGTTTCTCAGTTTACGTGCTTGTTCTCCACTGTTTCCTTATCTGTCAAAGAGTGCTAAGAATAAACCTACCTCTTTGCATTGTTATGTGGACTTCATGAGTTAATTTTTACAAAATGTTCTGAACACCACTTGGTACATGATAAGCACCATATAATTATTGCCTGCTACACATATAAATAAAAAATATCTGGGAAATGCTCTCATCCTTCCTTAAGAAATCGCTTCCTGAGTGATGGAGGACTTTTATCACTTGATCGAAGGGTCATGAGCTCACTCTCCTCCAGGAGCTGCAGTCCCGTGGTCAGCGTGACTCACAGTCTACCCCTGGCTCATCCTTCGCTGGCAGAAAGAGGAGCCAGCCACCAGCTTTGCTCTTACAGTGCATCTAAAGCATCAACTGCTTCTCCAGAATTCTGAAGATTGCCAGAGGCTGGCCATGCGGATAGAGGCAGTGGTGCCACTGGGAGGTGGCTGCAGTATGTGACAAAACCACCCCTCAGATACAGGATATCAAGCCCCTCCATCTCCAGCCTCGTTGCCTGAAGGTCCTATCACCAGCCAAGCTGTCCACAGGCAAAAATGACATTTAACTATTACCAGCAATTGAGATGAGCTAGACACAGAAGCCCTGGACCCCTAGGATGGGTTAAATCAGGCTTTCTCAGCTTTGACCCTATTGACACTTTGGGTCAGACAATTCTTTGCTGTTGAGGGATGTCCCGTGCATTGAAGGATGTTGGGCAGCACCCCGGGCCTCCGGCACCTGAATGACAGTAGCAATCCCTTTATGTGACAACCAAAAACACCTCCAGACGTTGCCAATGCCCCAATTTGAGAGCCACTGGGGTAGGCATATGCTCCCAGCCCTTTCTTCCTCACTGCCCCTTTGTACAGGTGAGGTGTGAGAACAGTCACTGAACTCGCATTCTGTGTGACCTCCATTCACTAAGGTTCTGGAGGCACTGCTACCAATATATACAAAGTACAATAAAGGAATCAGCCCTTCTCCCTACAGGAGCTGACAGAGGCCCAGCCTGTGCTGATGGTCTCTCGAGGGCTGGTAACCTTCTGCAACTTTTTGTCTTTTTGTTAAAAGGCAAGAGGACTATGGGACAGAGCCCCCCAACCCATAGTTATTGGTGGTAGTCACTGGTGGGACACACCCTAAGTAGAATACAGAACTGTCACATCAACCTTAAGAAGAAACAAACAAATGGAAAGATAGTATATTCCCTGCTCATGGATTGGAAGAATATTGTTGAAATGTGTTCTATTCTGCCCAAGGCAATCTATAGATTTAACGCAATCGCTATCAAACACCAACAATATTTTTCACAGGACTAGAACGAATCATCCTAAAATCTGTATGGAACCACAAAAGACCCTGAATAGCCAAAGCAATCTTGAGAAAGAAGATCAAAGCTGGAGGTATCACAATTCCAGATTTCAGGATATACTATAAAGCTGTAGTAATCAAAACAATACGGCACCGGCAAACAAACAGGCACATAGATCAATGGGACAGAATACAGAGCCCAGAAATAAACCCACAGTTGTATGGTCCATTAATCTATGACAAAAGAGGCAAGAATATGCAATGGGAAAAAGACAGGCTCTTCAACAAATGGTGTAGGGACAACTCGACAGCTACATGGAAAAGGATGAAACTGGGCCACTTTCTTACACCATACACAAAAATAAACTCAAAATGAATTAAAGACCTAAATGTGAGGCCTGAAATCATAAAAACTCTAGAGGAGAGCACAGGTATTAATTTCTCTGACATTGGCCATAACAACATTTTTCTAGTTATGTCTCCTGAGGGAAGGAAAACAAAAGCAAAAATAAACTATTGGGACTACACCAAAATAAAAAGTGTTTGCACAGTGAAGGAAACCATCAACAAAACAAAAAGATGACCTACTGAATGGGAGAAGATATTGGCAAATGGTATATCTGATAAGGGGTTGATCTCCAAAACAAATAAAGAACTTTGGTAACATACCCCCAAAACCAAATAATCAAATTAAAAAATGGGCAGAAGACATGAATAGACATTTCTCCAAAGAAGACATCCAGATGGCCAACAGACACATGAAAAGATGCTCAACCATCACTCATCATCAGGGAAAAGGGAAATCAAAAGTACCATGAGACATCATTACCTCACAGTTATCAGAACGGCTAAAATCAACAACACAAGAAACAACAAGTGTTGGTGAGGATGTGGAGGAAAAGGAACCCTCATGCACTGTTGATGGTAATACAAATGGATACAGCCACTGTGGAAAATGGGTTCCTCAAAAAATTAAAAATAGAAATACCAGTAATAATCCAGTATACTGCTACTGGGTATTGACCCAAAGAATAGGAAAACACGAATTCAAAAAGATATTTGCACCCCTCTATTTATTGTGGAATTATTTACAATAGCCAAATTATGGAAGCAATCTAAGTGCCCATGAACAGACAAATGGATAAGAAAAATGTGGTGTACACAAAGGAATACTACACAGCCATAAGAAAAGATGAGATCATGCCATTTGAGACAAAATGGGTAGACCTAGGGAGTATTATGCTAAGTGAAATAGTAAGACTGGGAAGGACAAATACCTTATGAAAAAAAAAAAAACAAAAACAAAAAGCAGAATCAGACCTACACATACAGAGAACAAACACCTGCCACAGAGGAGGGCGTGGGGGATGAGCAACATGGGTGAAGGGGAGTGGGACAGAGGCTCCCAGTTATGGAATGAGTAAGTCACAGGAGTAAATGGCGAAGCATAAGGAATACAGCCAACGACATTGTAATAGTGATGTAACGGGACAGGTGGTAATTACACTAGTGATGAACACAGCATAATATACAAACTTGTCAAATCACTAAGTCACACACTTGAAACTAATGTAACATTGTGTATCAA